TTCCCAGACTCGCATGGCAGCACGTGCGAACCGATCGAGGATGGATCATTCATTCAAAGTCGGTGATGATGTGCTTATCGACGCCCGCCACTTACAGCTCGAAGCGTATCGCAAGTTTCGGCGTCGCTTCTTTGGTCCATGCCGCATCCTCCAGGCCGTTGGTTCTGATACGGCTTCTAGCCCGGTCAGCTTCCGTGTGAAGCTGCCCGACTACCTACGCCAGGCTCGTGCGCACGATGTCTACCACATCTCGTTACTGCGTTCTTACCTCAGACCGTCTGAGCGTTTCGTCGGACGACCATACAAGCGCCCTCCACCCATCATGGTGGACAGTCACGAGGAGTTCCTCGTTTCAGACATCATTGGTCGCCGAGTCACCGACGACAACCCTCCCCATGTCGAGTATCTTGTACGTTGGAAGGGTTACCCTGATGAGGAGGCTACCTGGGAGCCCCTCGAGCACTTGCAGCACGCTCACATGTTGGTGCGTGCCTATAACCGTGCTCATCGTGCTGGGTTCACCGCTCCTCCTCATCCCATTGACCCTCCTCCTTCTCCTCCGGCTGAGGAGACCGCTGAAGTCAAGCCTGCTCCATCTGAGGCAGACCTTCAGCAGCAGGCGGATGCTTCTGAGCGTCCACAGCGCACTCGTCGTCGTCCTGCTCAATACGACGATTGACTCTGATTTACCTTCCCACGTCTTTGACTTCTCAGTACTCCATCCACATCAGTTTTGCTACTTCAGCTCGTCGACGTTGCGGCTCTTCCTCGACGGCATTCCAGACTTCTCATCGTGGACGTCATAGGCAGCTTCATGGACTTTGTCACGATCAGCTCTGCCTACTTCAGACGTCGGCACTCTCTGACCACTTTACCCTGTACAGTACCCTACTTGTGTCGCATGATGGTCTCCCTTTAGCCGGGTTCCTCTGAGTTGGGCTCTCCCTTGGTATACGCATAGGCATCGGGACCGTAGCGTTGCCCTGGCTTCCCACCTTACGGATCTAGCTCCGACTTCCTTCACTTTAGGAGTCATTTGCATGATTCCCTTACCCATCATCTTTCTACCCTTCGCCGACCCTCACACCGTAGTTAGGCAGCCCCGCATGCTTCATCTAGGTGCGCCCAGTATACCAGGCTCCCTTGTTCCCTTGCATGGTCGACCCTCCATAGCGGTCACCCCTTAGTCGAGCTCTAGCCGCCCTGATGGTCTATCTGTTAGGGTCATTGGTTTTGTTCGCTCCTAGTTCCCTACCCTCATTGAGCCTGATGACATGTGTTTTCCCCTGTCACTATGTGTGGATGCCCTTAGGAGTTTTCGACCCCTAGGCTGCATTCACCACCCTTAGAGACCACCCCACCCTTTGGTTTGCGACACACTTCTCATATGACATATGTTTGTCTTGTTGATTGCTCTGTTGCTCTCAGACTGAGGCTACTGCCTCCGACATTTCTAGGATTTAGTTGTTCTGCTTTTGTTGTTCTTAGGACTTATACACTAGTCAGTTGTTACCAGACTGAGGTTAGTGCCTCCAACATTCTAGGATCTAGTTGTCACTACTTTCTGCTTTCGTAGGACATGTATGCTAGTTAGTTGCTTTTGCTTTCCTAGGACATGTATGTTAGTTTGTTGCTTCTGCTTTCACTTAGGCTGTTAGTTGTGACATTGCTGTTTTGTGACATTTTATATCCTAGGTTGCATCGCATGGACTCAACATGGAGCTTGCTCCGCATCCTAGACTACTCAGGTTTTCTTTTCTTTGGTAGAGTTCCGCTTCTTGGCGGAAGCATGTTTGTATCTAGGCGATCCATCACAGGCCGAGGATCGTGTAGTGGACCTGGGGTTGGCCTGTGAGACCAGCCCCTTGGCCTGTTCTCACAGGCCTGTGTTGTATTCGGGGTAGGCCAGTCCAGGCCGGTACCTCTGTCGGTACCANGCCTGTGAGACCAGCCCCTTGGCCTGTTCTCACAGGCCTGTGTTGTATTCGGGGTAGGCCAGTCCAGGCCGGTACCTCTGTCGGTACCAGCCAGTCCAGTCCAGTCCCATCAGTCCGCTGGGGTATACCCCAGCCATTGTCTGTTTTCAGTCTCATTCTTCACTTGCACATTTTGGAGTACGTGCGTCGGAGTCTTGCGTGGGGAGCTGCATTGTGTCATCTCGCTCCCCCCTTCTTCCTCCATCTCCATCTCTGTCACTAGCGGAGCACCACACTTGGTGGGTCCGCTACAGCAACCGGGCATTGTAGAAATGTATATTCTATTGTTTCAGCTCTCTTTTTGGTCGGGAAGCCCAACTGGCATCGAACACACCATGGGAGTGCTTTACCTTGTTGTTTAAGTTGTGAGTGATCGATCAACCAATTGTTAGTGGGAAGGCATCTATGCATAATCTGTCATTGCAGTGATGTGATTTTCGTTGGTCTACACTTAGTATCTCCAAACCATCTTATGGGTGTGAGAAGATGCCTATCTATGTTGAGATGCCTCTGCCAGCGGTTGATCACCATGTCTTTGAGACAACGCTTAACTCCGAGCATACGATATGTTGCTTTGAT